TCAAATTTAGCTAACTATCAAGAAATTTTTTCCCAAAGTATGGATAGTTTAATATTGGACAAGGACAATTTAAAAATTCAAAATTCATTAAACCATTACTTAGCTATACATATTTCTAAATTTCAAACCAAAAATTGATGTTTTTCAACCTGTAAGTTAACTAAATAACTAAAAATATTTGCTTGGTGATTTAGTTCTGGGTCTGGTCCATCCATTATAATGTAAACATTTCCTGGACAGACTATGCGAGAGTTTTGAGAAGAGCCTGAAGAATGAAATAAACTAATCCACAAGCTTATGACATAAATTATCCAAAAATGTATTCTATTTGGAAAGAGTAAATATCCAAAAATATTTGCCTTGCTAAGTATTTTATGAATCAGCTCTATCATTACAACATTTTCATTTAGAAATTCCGTGCAACTTACGATTTAGTTCAAAAAAAAAAAAAAAAAATTGATCTGGCTACGCTGAGTACGTGGAATATTATCTTACATGTAAGGTGAGAAATAAATTTCTAGCTCCTGCAATATAAATGCAGAGACTTAAATGTTAAAAAAAAAATTAGCCAAAAGTTACAAACTTTTTTTGACCTCCGGCACCTGGTTAATAGTGATTTTTCGAAGAAATGAATGGAACTACACTAATCACATATTATACTCCAGTAGGCTCTTCCACTGAATTTAACCATGTAGTTTTTACTTGCACTATATAATGCCTTAAAAAATTTCCTTATTTGTTACAAAAACTAGCAGTTTTTCCACATTAATGTATATTTAGCAATACTAATAATATTTCTATCGCAGTAACAATTTTCGTCCAATTGAAAATTTAATTAAATATGTTGCAAAAAAATTCCTATATTGGTTTCAGGTCATCTCAATAAACACTGTTTGGAATGGAAATTCAGAATTATAAATTTATTATATAACTTAAATGAAGATTGAGGGATTATTTTTATATAAATATCGCTAAAAAAAAAAATTAAAACCTCTTTCAGTCGTTTTTCCGGATTGTAATTAATATTGGCCAAATGCGAGATCGAGACGAGTCTTGCCCATGGTCTTGGTCTTGAGCAAGAGTCTCGCAACAGTCTTGCAGTTACTTATTAGCTTATTATTATAAAGATATTACTGTAATTTTTTATATTGGAGAAACCTAACTAAACCCGAATGAAAAAATAGAAGAGTTAAATGCATAAGTATATTGGTCATACCAATTATTAACATATAGGAAATAAAACTGTCGAATATTAGTAACTATTTTGCCTTAATTTTTATTTTAAAAAATTGATTGAAAAAGACCAGTCCTGCTCTTGGTCTTGCAACAGTTAGGCGGTCTGGCAAGTGCAAGACCAAGACTGATTTTGAGTAATACTAATTGTAATTCGTTTTCAAAGAACCAGACTTAAATTATGAGTAACGATGATTGCTTTAGAATTGACATCAATAACCTCAACATAATTAAGCATAAAAAACCAGCATCGAGGAATCTGAAATCGAACTCGAGATAAAAACAATTAACCATGAACGAAGTTGAATTAATCGCTCTAGAAAGCTTTTTATTTGGATAGAAACCTTGTTAAAAGTTGTAAAAAGAATGTTACATCTACCGCGAAACAGTTTACAATCAAAACATAACTGAAAACTCTTTAGAAAGTAAATAAAATGAAGCCTGGCTCCGATAACCGAGATATTGATTTATTAGTTTGAATGGACCTGTGTTTTATGAAGTGTTTAATGCTCAGAAATCCATGCCAATCTATCAGTGATTGGTGCCACTTGCCGAATTTATGCCGAATGATCCGCGGCTTCAAAATATGTAAATAAATAATCGAATTCTTTTTAATTTACCTTCTAAGATATAGATTTCAAAACAATAAAATGTAATTGACACCTACTTCTCTACTTCAAAAATAATAGAAAACGAATAATAACAATAAATAATTACAATAATATATTTTTTAAAAATCTGCACAGAATTCGGTAAAAATTCATTTTTATTACTACCCAAATAAAAATATTATGAGTACACCTTCCTGAAACTTAATATTAACATTATAAGTAAAACTTCCTAAGAAAAAATGTAAAACTAAGGTATGTGCTTTGGCACACACGATAAAATTGAAACATCAAAAAGACGGGATTAATAATATGAAATATAAATTATAAATAATAGCTCATTATAAATAGAATGATATGCTGAACATTTCCCTCGCTTACAGTCTGATTTTTAGTTTCTGAGATATTTTAATCCATATCTTCCATAAAACTCGTTATCATTTGATCTTCGACACTATTTTTTACCTCATCTAACACGGCATCGCGTTAAGATACAATTTTGAATAATAGCCCATTACAGAGAGGATGAAATGATGAACAATTCCTTCGCTTACAGTATACAGGTCCGGTTTTAAGTATCTGAAATATTTTAAACCCTATGTTCAACTAAACTCGTTATCATTTGGTTTTCGACACTATTTTTTTTCTTTTTCGCCTCCCTGACACGGCGTCGAGATAAGATAAATTTTGAATCATAACCTATTACATAGAGGATACAATGCTGAACAATTTCCTAGCTTACTGTATGCAGACCCGATTTTTATTTTCTGAGATATTTTAATCCATATGTAAAAACATTTCATTTAGTCGACTCAAGCCAATTTTTCACGGGCGTTAACTTCGGAAATCTTACGGATCAATCTCATTCACTTTAAACAAAAAAGTGGCAAACGAGCCTAAAAAAATTCAAAAATTGATAATAAAAATTAAACTTCGAAATAATAAGTGTTTGCTTTAAAGTCAGTAATGATCAAGAATATTAACGCCTGTAATGTATAACTACCGATTTTTAGGAATTTGTTACTTTCATATTTGTATTACCTCTTGGAAATTTTTCTATGGGACATTGATGAAAACATGAGATCTAAAATTATTTGTCAAATATACTTTGTGAGTTTTTGTATTTCTTAATAACATACTATAAGTTATTTCTTAATAACTTAATAACTTATTAAGGATTTGATCCTTTTGAACCGCATACAGCAGTTCCTTATTTATTAATTATTTTTGGTTATTTGCTTATTGGTTTATTATCAGGCTACGAGTAAGCCACAAGGAGGATGTTGTGTTTAGTTTGATAGCACGTAAATATGTAACGAATTTTTGAGCAAACGGCTAGACAGTATTTAAAGTTTGATGGCTCGGATTACTTAGAAGACTGACCAACTATTGTATAAAATCGGTAAAAAATTATGTAATGATTTTTTGAACGAACAGCTCGACCTACCTATTTTTAAGTTTGATAGTTTATTACTCTGGGAGATCTTGTGAATGTTGAAGGAAAAATCTACGCATAAAATACTGGAGAAATATTTTAAATATTCTCAAATCTCAGATCGTATGATGTGTGAGTTCGTTATCATATTTGATGAATACTGATTGGCAATACATAAAAAATTAAAAACATTACCATATCCATCCTAAGGGAATCTATGAAGGCAAACTGGTAGATAGTTAGGGAAATTAGTTTCAATGAATATTTAAAATTGGAGTGTCCGAATGATTTCAACAAAGGGATAGGAGCCGTGACAAGTTGGTTTCATCCAATGCAGCAGTGCATATCAACATCCGAAAGTCTTGAGTTTCGTTCGGGGGTTGAATGCAACCGTCTACTATCTCAATTTTGAATACCCCAATCTATCGATTTCCCAAATAATTTTGTAAATGTTTGTAGTTTTTTTTTTTTAATTTATTTATATTTTTTGTGTATATACAGAGTGTCCCGTAACTAAAGCAAATTATTTAAAGGAGTGATAGCTTATTATTTTTGTAGATAAGTAGGTAATTTAATTTAAGTGTTTCTTAAAGCTTATCACGTTTTTTGTTTAATTGGAAGAGATAACTAAAAAAATATTTAATTTAAGTAGTAAAAAACTGCTTTACAGAAAACTAGACAAAATTAATTTCAAATCAAATTAAAATTTTTTATTTCAAAAATGGTTTAAAGGAGGACTTTTGAACGGCTAAACAAAGGTGTCTATAAAATATTCATACAATTTTTTTTTTTTTATCACCTTTCAACTCGGCTACAGTTGCTCCACTTTTATGCAAACCTTTATGTTTAATAAGCTTTAATTTAATATTAATTAAGTTGAAGTTTTTTATGGAATATGTTGAGATTCAACTTTAGGTAAGTAAAAACATTATTTGATTTGATATTCTGTCAAAGTACGAGTGTTTTTAGCAACAACAAAAAAACGCGATAGTTTATTAAACAACTTTGACTTATTTTTTGTTTGCCCTATAATCTAAAATGAATTGTAGTATATTAATCACAAAAATACAATTATCTTCATAACAATACCCCCATATCACGGAAAAAAAGAAGTAAAAGCTTTGCATCATTTGATTGTAGTCATTTTTGCTGAAAACATAGGTATTTAGGTGATTGTATAGAAAATCACATTATTTCTTTACATAACTTGAGGTACATCTAAAAATTTTTCCTCATAAATCTCAACTTAATTAACATGGACTTAAAGCTTATTAAACGAAGGAGTTTTTAAAAAGTGGGATAACTGTAGTACGCTTGAAGGGTGTTAAAAAAAAATCACAAATAATTTATGAATTTGTTTTTAAACCGAACTTAGCGGTGTTTGTCTGCTCAATGTTCCTCTTTAAATAGTTATAAAAACGAATGAATCTATCTTCATTTAAAGTACATTTTGTGTAGTTTACAATAGAGGTATGTTTAATTACTTAAATCAAATATTTTTTTAAGTTATCGCTTCCTATTCACCAAAAACCGTGACTTGCTTTAAATAAAACAAATCTTGCATTTCATACTTGTCTGCTGGAAATTGGGCAATTGTTTATATATACATATATTTTTTTTTTCGATCTTGATGTCTGTTATCAACCTTTTAAATATTTCCCTCCACTTACGGGACACCCTGTATATCGGTTCACAATTAAATATTACGGAAACTACATACGTACCGTAAAAATAAAGCAGGGCTAGATGAAGTATAATGGACGACATGCCGGATGGTGGCCGGGCACAGACTAGCCCAGAGCTCCACTAGATTCGCTGGACACATGGAGGGGCGGCGGGCTTAATTACCTTATTGTCCATGTCCAGGCACCTATCCCTATGCTGGAATATCACTCAAACCTTTGGATAATGATATTTTACTACAGCGGCAGCATGAGATATAAATATAGAAAATTTGGGAACTTGTTGCGTACACACTCGCGAAGGTTTCTGGCATAGTGCATCCGTCCTACGACAATCATATATGTGTAAAAAAAATATTGCTATAGACTGTCGCGCCAAAACGGCTGGAGCGATTTTAACGTAACTTGGCTAAAGTCTTCCTCTTGAAACCCTTTTAATTTATGTCTATAACATACTTTCTCTGGAAAACACAAGTTTTTCATACGCGTTAGCCCGCTCGGCCACCCCGCTCCCCAACTCCGACCGACCTGAGTCTTCCAGATCGAGATCACCAGACCTAAATCGTAAAACACATTTGTGAACGATGCTGTCAGTAACTGAATGCCCGCCCTATACAGCACGAATCTTCTTTGCAGTTTGGGCGGAAGTTTTTCCTTTTTTAAAAAAGAAAAGCATAATATGGTTAAAATGGACTCCATTGTAGATCGTGTTCGGTTTACAGAAACTGGACATACTGATTCTTGATAAACACAAACCAGACACATAAAGACAGATAATACATTGAGGGTTGGCGATTATTTACAAAAAAATGATTTGTAATACATTGTAAGTTGAAAGAATAAAACTAAAACTCTATTTTTAATAATTTCTACGAATTTTTCGAACAACACTGTAGTCATATATCTTGTTTTTTATTAAATCTTCTAACGTTTCAATGACACATATAATTTATTTCACCCTTACACCACTACTTCAGGCTTCAATTTATATTAATTTTCTCGACGACATAAGGCTGCTGTATTAAAAGTAAATTTAGAATAATGTTTATTTTTTTTACGGTCCACAGGTAATTTATAGAATAAATTGACTTTTCATAAATAAGTTATGAATTTTATAATTAGAAGAATGTGAGGAGAAAAATGTTACAATAATTATATAAAAAATATAATTATATGGATCATATAATGATGATATAAATATTTTGACTTGGAAATGGGAAAAATTGCCTGAAACGTCGTCGAGGAAATTAATATGAATTGAAGTGTGGAGTAGAGGTGTAAGGATGAAATAAAGCAATTTTCCTCGAAATTGTAAATTTTATCAATTATATATCTTGATATATCAGCCGTTGATTCAGTCTGGAATCGGAAGATTCTCCTGGTGCTTGCCCTTTCTTTATAAAATGAGTACTCTTAATCGTGAAAAAAAAAGTTAGTGGTTGAGCGCTAGCTCGTCCAAATCACCTTCATGCATTACAAAAGGCCTAGAAACAGTACTTATCTCCTTGAGTAGTGCTTCTTTTTTTTCTTTTTTTTTTTATAACTATTCTTATATCCATATCTGTGAATTACATCGCGCCAATAAGCAGATATGATACAAACATACATCAAATAACAGGAATGTTCGGCACGAGGGAGATCAGCTCACACCGACACCTCCACCTTATGATGACATTCTACAGATATCCGAAGTACAAGATCTCTTCGCCAGCTCCTTTTCATCTTTTTTCTGGTTTACTCATACATGATCATTTTCGCCATATTATTTTAAATGAACTTTAACGTGAAATATTTTGTTTGAGAATGAATATAGTTTTGAACAGTTGGTATTCGCAGGTTTGTGGCTAACTTACCAAAGTGAACTTGTGATTAGATTTAATGTTTTCGATTGAAACTTTATGTTTTTTGGGTGTGAGCCTTTTTAACAGTGCAAGAAAATGTTGGTCTATATATGTTTTAAAATATTTATGTAAGTATCTAATCATTGTCTAATTTTCAATTTGGAGTGTTTGTTCAGAATTAAGTTCAGTAGTTTTAGTTTTCAGTTTAAGCATAGGCGTTTCTTTTTTAGCTTGCGTGCCCAAGTCTATTCTTCTGTCGAAAGTGAGTCCTAAGTAATGAACTGTATCTGTGAATGGGTTCATTGTTTAAATAAACTAGAGGGGTCTGAGGGGGAATGTGACGTGCTGAGATTTGTCATTGTTGAGTTTTATTTTCCATTGTATAAAACAGTTTGGTAGTTGTAGAAAGTAATATTATTGAGAGTCATAGAAGCCTGGGCGATGTCTGCGTGTTTAGAGAAAATAGCTTTATCGTTCGTCCGTGTTGGCTATTATTAGAATAATAATAATAGTGTGTTTAATTTCGATTACAAATTCTATTATAAAAATAGGCCATACTAAAGTCTAAGATAAAAATGCTTTGTGATATTATAGTATAGCTTAAACACATTAAGCAATGGGAGCAATGTATCTTTAACAGCCTACACCATATTCTTCTCAATTGTCCATCATCCAAAGTACATAGAGAGAGATACCTGCAGCAATATACATCCGATTCACCCCTTATGTTAATGTAGAGATCATCCTTAATATAGACAGTATCGAGAAAGAGAACCATATATATTTATTTTTATTATCCGTAGCCCACTAGCGGATCCAGGATTTAATTTTGGTAGGCTTCAGCCCGGAAGTTTTTTTTTCATATATATAACGATAATTACTTTGGAAAAACAGAAAGATACTAGCTATCAATATGATATGGTGTTTAAGTGATTCTTGAAGTCCTATAATATGTGATTAAACGAGAAATAATACTTTAAGACATAATTTTTTAATTTTTTTTTACCATAAAACATGGTTACATTTTACCATTTTGGGGGGGCTTCAGCCTGAAAGCCTCCCTCCCCCCTGTAAATCCGCCTGTGCCGTAGCCAATATGTACTTTATTCCCGAAATGATACCATCCCATACCAATTGAATGGTTATTAACATTGTTTTTCATTAGGGTATTGATTCGGTTTTATTATGAGTTTTTGTTGTTTTTATTTATTTTGTATTGCGTGATATGCATGTATATGTGTATGCATATATATATATATATATATATATATATATATATATATATATATATATATATATGGTTTCCAGCACGGGCGGATCTACGGGGGGGGGGAGGCTTTCGGGCTGAAGTTCCCCCAAAATGGTAAAATATAACCATGTTTTATCGAAAAAAAAATATTAAAAAATCATCTCTTAAAGTATTATTGTTCGTGTAATTTCATTAAAAAGAGCTTTAGGAATTACACTTAAACACCATTTCATATAGGTAGTTAGTTTCTTTCTTTTTTTTTCAAAGTAATTATCGTTATTTTTATGAAAAAAAAAAGCTTTCGGACTGAAGCCCCCCCAAAAAAATTAAATCCTGGATCCACTAGTGGTTTCCAGAGACTAAAACGTTTAATAAATTTACGCAAATATACATAAAAATTATTTTTAGGTAACTTTAGACTGTTTTTTTATCATACTAGTAGATCAGGATATTTGTTTACCAATGACAGTCTCTATAATTCTGCATACAGAGAAGCTTTCGGCGACCTTCACTATACTCATCTCTATAATATAACACATTATAATCAATAAATTTAACAATTAACAATACATAATGTTATATACTTTTTTAAAAAATTATCATAATAATTTGATGATAATTTTTTTAAAAAGTATGTGTTGTTAATTGTTAAATTTATTTATAATAGTTTGTTATACATTGGTAAACGAATATCCTGATCTAAAAATTATTTTTTGGGCCCAACGGTACTATATTAAATACACATAAAAGAACAGAGGGGACCTCCAAATCATACTACGGCGATAAATAAAAAGTTAAAAATCTTTATATTGAGAGTCCATCAGAGTGGCCCAAAATTTTTCGGAAATTGGCGAATACAAAACAATTATTTTGGGGCCAAACATGAACGGTATTATATAAATACAAAATAACGATCTTCGAGGAATCAAGGAAGTACGTTCTATCATTCCTAGGTGATAGAAAAATATAAAACATTTATGTTAGGAGTCTATCTCAAAGACCCCCACAATTTGCGAAAATGAATGAATACATACTAATTATTTTCAAGGTATTTAAAAATATAAAACAATGATTTTGTAGCCCCCTCTGGAACCCCCTGAATTGGGGCCTTCAGCAATCGCAAACTAGCCAACCGGGCATGTTCGATATATGTAGAGCTCTATTTGCTCCATGGGGGGAGGGGAGGATGGAAGATGACATTAATGTTTGCATTTCTCCATGCTGTAAATTCAGTAATTACGCAAAACTGAAGACCAAGGCTTTTATTCTAGATTCAATATTCCAGCTCAATTAACTCAAACTGACGATCGTTCCACTGGAAACTAATTGATTGGAAGCACTAAGAACTATGGATAACGTCGATTGCTACAATTTCTAATGCTGGTCATGCGGAAAGTGACGACCTGACGCAGGCGCAGGAGATCCCATCGTCAGTGAATCACAAGTTTATCAAAGCCAGAACAGCTTCTTACGTCACTTTATTTCCGAGCCATTTCCTCACACAATAATATACCTGTTCTAAAATCTTCAAGCTTTTGTTTATTCCCTTTGGTGTTACGTGATTATTGTCAATATAGGTCTCCAAATAAAGACGGTTGACTCGACTGGAGTCGACTAATTGTAGTGTTTTTGTATATGGATTATAATATCTCAAAAAATGAAAATTTGAACTGCATATTGTTGACGGGGGAAAATGTTCATCATTTCATTCTCTTTGTAATGAGCTATTATTCAAAATTTTAACTTAACGCCACTCCGTGTTAGAGAGTCGAAAAGAGAAAAAATGATGTCGAAAACTAAATTATAACAAGTTTTATTGAAGATATGGATTCAAATATCTCCGAAATTAATAATCGGACCCGCATACTGTAAGCGAGCGGATTGTTCAGCATTTCACTTTCTCTGTAATGGGATAATATTCAACATTGTATCTTAACACGACGCCGTTTTAGAGAAGTGAAAAGGAAAAAATAGTGCCGAAAACCAAACGATAACGAGTTTTATGGAAGATATAGATTAAAATATCTAAGGAACTAACAATCGGACCTGCATACTGTAGGCGATGGAAATGTTGAGCATTTCTTGCTCTTTATTATGAGCTATTATTTAAAATTTATATTTCATATTATTAATCTCGTCTGGTTGATATTTTCACTTCTATGATGTGGTCTAAAGCACTCACCTTAGTTGTTTTATTTCATTCTTTAATTGTTTAAAGGTTTGAGATTCCGACTTATTGCATATATAAATCTGGGGCTCCGGTTTATTAAAGTTTATATAAATAACTAATATTTAAATACAAAAAATTAATTTTAATCAGTGATTTTTTATATTTCATTAGTTATTTCTTAAATATGTTTTTTCTCCCATGTTGTAGTTGTTTTTTTATTTTAATTATAAACGAATAGGTATATATATTGTTTTTTAATCTGACTCATCATTTAAAAATATAAACGAAATGTATTAATCATATTAATATTTCTGTGAATATATTATTCATACGGGTAAATAATAAAATTTTATGATGGACCAGTTCAAAGATAACAATTGATAAACACTATTTTTGTATATAAATCCCCAGTGGATATTGTTTAAGCTATTCATATTTTTCGATTTTTAATCATCAAACTCGGAACAAATACAAATATAGGACGAGTTGATGGTGTAATTGCCTTCAATTATTCACGCGAATTCCGAGAGTCCACTCGGTACGGTCTGACTCATTTCAGAGGAAAAGACGCTCTTGACCGCGATTTCACAAACATGGGCCCCGCCTGAAAAAAATTTCAGTCTGCCCGTGGAACGTTTGCAGTGCGTTACACCAGTCTTCAAGGAAGCCTATAAAAGTGAGACGATTGGGCGCGGATAAACTAATTGCTGACACAACACCTGAAACAGCAGGTAGTGGGAGATCTCAATTCTTCAGTAGGCGACACAGCACCATGATGCTCCTACCGTCGATTGACAGGAGCCTGCTCAATGTGATCCACATGGGTCTGGGCTTCTTGATACTGTTTTCTGCGGACTTCACCATCACTAACATGCAGGTAAATATTACATTTTATGACAATTGTGTAATTTTTTATCAACTTTTCGAGCGGTACTTGTTTCTTAATAACTATGAGAAAAGCTTAAAATTGTACAAATTTCTATTAAATATCTAATTTAGTTTATAAAACAGAATTAGTAATATGAATTTGTTTCTCTATGAAGGCAGCGCTATGTTTATATTCACTAATAAAAAAATCGAGAAACTTATATTTTTTTTTTTTAATTTATTTTCGAATATTACAATATTATGTCACTTGGATATTAGTTACAGTGAGCTAAGATCACATTCACACAACATGTACAAAAAAATTATAAAATAAACTGAAGCAAAATAACAAATAAATAGTAATCAACAAGTATATACAATAAATAAAATAACTTTAAAATAAGGAAATTAAAAAAAGCCAAATAAAATTTGACTATTCTTTATATCGTCGGTCCAGAGATAAAAATGTGAATGTGAAATAAAATCAGATTTTACTTTGTGCAATGTTTAAAATTATTTTTGCTCCTTATATTTATTAATTATTAAATTTCTTAAGACAAAACTTTTTTTTTTATTATCTCCCATAATTCATTTTTGACTATTTACATGTATAAGTATAATATAATGTAAATATATATTCAAAGCTTTGTTCTTGCATTGCTCGATGGCATTAAGAGACAATAATGGGCCTTTATAATTTATACAAAGAGTACATAGCGATTCATTTTTCACATAGTTTCTTTTTAAGTCTCATAATCTGCAGACCAAACTATGTGAAAAATGAATCTCTATGTGACCTTATTATAGCCAAAATCTCTTGAATGTGATTTATTTGATTTTTTATTGCCAATAGAAACTTTGAACCTTGTCTTCTCAGAAATTTGAATTTGCTCATTGATCATTTACACTTTAGACCGGCGATATGTAAAACTGTTCGCAAGAACTAGCTTTACATATCGCACTAGATCAACAACTAGCAAGAACTAGCTTTACATATCGCACTAGATCAACAACTAGCAAGAACTAGATCCACGGGGGGAGGGCTTCGGCCTTTAGCTCCTCCCACCAAAACGGAAATATAAATAAATCTTCTCATAGATTCTATTTGCTCCTGTGAGTTATCTGAGTTAAATGCTTAGACAATCACAATATCTACTCTTTAAAAATAATGACGCGTACTACTAAATTTAAGCACCTGTCAAGAAAACAATAACTCCTAAAAGCATTATTGTTCCTGTAATTACTGTGTCTTTTTCTTATAAAAGGTCTTCAAGGATTATTTAAACATTATTTTATACAGTTTCCTTTTTTTTTCTTCCAGCAAAACAAATATATAATTAAAAAAAAATATCGCCAAAATGAAATCCTAGATCCGTTAGTCTTTACTAGTAAAGTACTATCTGGATTGTCTGTTAAAGTGAAGTCTGGTTTTGTGAATTTCCCTAATAGTACATTGAATGGTTTGTTTTTAATCACTATTTGGGAAAACAAATCTTTGTTAAAAACATAGAAAAAATACATTTATTATATTTTTATTGAATATTGAATAGTTGACCGTTGCATTATAAAGGAAAGAGATGGTCCGGGATGGCGGTCATAAATAGGCTAAATAGTGGCAAAACTATTTTATTAAAAGCCAACGTTTCGACCCAACTTTGCAGGTCTTCTTCAGGGTTAGAACGGAAGAGATACAAAAAGATATAGAGAATTGTGGAAGTTACATAATGTTAAGACAACAAATTATATACAATGTTATTAAAATTATAAGCAGCAAGTGCATTAAAATTAAACAGAATATCCTAAGTAACAAGATCCTAAACTGAAGTAAATAGATGGTAACAATTGTTGTAGTGTAATATATAATATATGCAAATGTGAATATACTTCTGCAGATCTACAGGAGAGATTGAAAGAAAAGGAAAAAGGACATAATATGGAATAATAGACATAAAGGAATGTTGAGAAAGAAAAGAAAAAAGAAAACCAAAAAATAAATAAATAATTATATACAATCAGAAGAATAAAAACGGAGAATTACAGGTGTGTTCAGCTAGGAGTGTCACTTAAAACTGGAAAATCAGGGTAAGAGTAGGTATTAGGGAAATTGGCTGACCTGATTGGGTAATGGGAAAAAAAAAACTGGGAAATTACAGTATCTAAAATTGGAAGATATGGATACAAGGGAAAAATATTATATATATGAAATAATAAATTATAAATATATACATGTACATATAAAATATAATGAAGAAATTATAGATAAGAGTACAATGTGAATAAAAACAAAAATGCAAGTAAAACGTACAAAGAAGAAAAATATAATTACATTATATTTATATCTTTTTTTTCTCGAGTTTTTACTCTTAATATTGATATATTTTCTCAGTAATCTTTTTTCTACTACATTTTTAAACTAATTCTAAGTATAAGAATAGATTTGAGAATTTAACTTATAGGCCAGTAGAATTTGACGATATGAGGACCGTTGCATTGCTTTGGTAGAAATAAATGAAAATGAAAAATATCAATAATATTTTGGGACATATGATTAAAAAAATTTTATGAGGGTGAAGTGGCAATAAATGTTGGAAAACAGAAATATCTGTAGGTCTCAAATAACTATTATAATAATTATCTTAAATTTTATTAATGAATTTGATTCTTAATACTGAAATCTGTATTATTTATTGGAGATATGAAGTTGCAATAAACGGGTAATCTTTTTCACGTACTGCTGAATATATCACAAGAACTATAATACAGACTACAATATACTGCGTGAAAAAAAAACTAACTATGTTTTTTTAGTCAGTATTAATATCTGTAATAAATTTGTAAAATGAATGGAATAAAAACTACTTGTTAGTCCATATCTTCCGAATGCAACTGACCAGTAACCTAAGCACTACCTTTTATTTATTAAAACGAAACTCCAATTGCAATATTCTATGCGTCCATTACGTTTTATTATTGAATCATGTTTAGTATTTTTTATTTTTGGTAAAGCATCCATTTAAAGTAATATGATTAGTGACCATTAAATAAATACGTATTTGGTTTCATCTTTATTATTATGTAATTTATTAATTATTATAGTTAGTATTCGGTTTAAATCAATCATTTTTGTTTTAAACCACAAATATGGAGGAAAAAGTAAAGAAAGAAAAAACTGTTGCTTATATTTATTTCGATTAAAACGAAACTCTATCGTATTTTTACTATAAGTGTGAGTGTATGAACTTTTTCATTATATTTGAAATTTAGCATTTTTCTCTATATTTCAGGTATTTATAGATAAAAACGTATAACCCTATCTTTTCCACGTCCATTTTTAAAAGTATCCCAATTCGCCAATATGGCCAAAAAAGGTCATTCGCCAAAATACTGATTCAGTAGGTAGCATAGAGGAAAATTTCCTGAATAGTGGACCAGTATATATCGTGTATGATTGTAGTGCGGCTAAATTTGAGGCTATGATAGTCGAGCTGTTAGAGTGTTGCTTGATTTAACGTTTTTTATTTAACGAGAGCAAACGTACCTCAATGGAGCAAATGGAATTTGTACTTTTTGTCATCCAAGTTCAGAAGAGTATTTAAGCCCTATGTTATACCAAGCTCCTAGATCTTTTGGACATAGTATTCTTGAGATTATAAGAAAGAAATTTTATAATTAGAGAGATGGAATATCAAAAAAGCTAAATGAAAGGAGTATAAACGAGAGTCTGGTGTTGAGAAATTACTCAAAGGTAGACACTAGCAGATCCAGGATTTATTTTTTTGGGGGGGGGCTCAGCCCGAAAGCTTTTATTTTCATATTTATAACGATAATTAATTTGAAAAAAAAAAAGAAACTAACTACCTGTATGACATGTTGTTTAAGTGATTCTTGGAATCATATTAAATGTAATTACACGAACAATAATACTTTAAGAGATAGTTTTTTTCTATAAAACATGGTTATGTTTTACCATTTTGGGAGAGAGGAGGGGCTTCAGGCCGAAAGCCCTCCCTCTCCCTCCCTCGTAGATCCGCCTGTGAAGGTAGAGTAACCCTTCCATATAAGCAAATAAAATACCAAATAATGAAACGTGTCGTGAAATTAATATATTAATTAAAACATCAAGAAATAAAAGAAAAAAGTATCATCCGTAAGTCTTGGGGATTGAAGATAAAATATGGAGAGTGATGCAACTGGAAAGGCGGATCACAAAAGCGGCTTCTAGTAGAAGCCCTGAAACCAGTTGGATGTGATGGAGATGATGCGATGATGGAGCCAGATCCCAAAAATCGACCTCATCGCAGGTGAAGGTTTGAATGTAAATTACAAAAATGTATGTTATTTTAAGTAAACTGAAGTTTTTCTGCCGTTCCAGAGCCGCTGCTTTCAAAAATGGCGGCGATTTAAAGAATATTAGGCCAGTAACATGAGGACTTTCAATTACAATTTTCAAATATTTCGCCTATAAATGAAGAATCTTTATTGTAAATATTTAGATTTTTATTTAATTATACGTTCTTTTTTTATTTCAAGTATTAATAAAAATTAATTGTATAACACTATTCACTTCTTAATTAAAACAATAATAATAAAAGTGCGGAAGTTACGTTTTCAAGCTGAATTTTTTTCTCACTTTCCAAGGAGGACGCGCCTCCTCTGGATCCGGTAGTGGTCAAAATCAGTGACGAGTGCCTCCTGCCAAGCTGGGAAAATTAATGAGATTTGGAAAAGTATGAGGAGACTATTACCTGTCATATGTAATAACAAGAATAGAATATCGTGTAGGATTTATGAAATTTGGAGATATCAGCGGGAATATTGCATCCATTTCCTGGTCGATTAAGGGAGAATTCCATAGAAAGCAAAGTAAAGCTATGTTCATCAATTTTAAATGGGTGTTTGAAAGAGTGCGGAGGGATAAACTGCTACACATGATAACTGTCCTGAAAATCGACGAAAAATTAGTTGTGTGGATCCAATCATTCCTATCCCAACGTCTCCTCAGAATTCTAACAGGTTCAAAGGACAATATTCAGACCAATGTTCTGTAATATTATGGTTAATGATTTTATCGATATTTTGATCCAGTTACAGACGCCTTACTGTATGTTGATGGGTTGATAACCTCGGAATCCAGTAGAAAGATCGCTGTTCTTGAAAAGTGGACTAACTATGCATTAAAGGTGCTAAAGTGCTGGTCGGAAGATAATGAAAGGATTATTGAAATGCCGAAGACAAGATTCCTATTTTTTCTCAATCTATAAGGGAATACGAATTCGAAGTGAATTTTAAAAATCAGTTCATTAGGAGGACTCATGAAGTTAAATACCAGGGTCTAGTGCTAAATAATAAACTGACCTGGGCCTAGCAGTGAAAGGTGAATCTCGGCTCCGACTAATGAAAAGAACGCTGCTTTAAATTAGGGAGCTTGCCTCCAAGGTTTTAAGATCTAACTGCTTGTACATCATTTATAAGACCAGTTATGGAGTATGTATCCGGAATTATGGTTACAGCTACAAATTCATCATCGAAGCGTCTTGATTTCATTCAGCATAAGGCATTAAGGAGAATTGCGGATGCGGCTAAATCAACGCATATATTAGCCAAGCAACTGCAAGCAGAGCTTGACTCTCGGAGATATAGACTAGAAAGAAATGCCGCTCTCCTATATCAGCGCATTCTTAGCATTCGAAATGAAGTGAATAGTGTACAAACATTGATAATGCAACCACAGACTAAAAATACAAGTGACATTCATGTACATTACAAAATCACAAACTAGGCTTGAGCCTAATAATTCCTTAGGTTGTATTAGGCTTCTTTAATCAACGTTACTTTTAGAAGCTTTCCTGGCCACTCAGTTCTCTACTATTCGAGAGACATGACCAAACCACCTCAAATAATTTTTCTCTATCATAGTCTCAGCTGGTCTCACGGTCAGGTTTTTCTTATTGTGGTGTTCCTTAAGCGATCTATATTTATTTTTCTTTCGACTTGGCGCAGGAATCCCATCTCCATATCCTGAAACTGACTTTTGAGGTGAGGGTCCATGACTCGCTGGAGTAAGTCATTATAGGGAGGAAGGAGTGTTCCTCTTGTTGTCTCTCTTCCTACCGTCACGTCGGGACTGAGAAAAGGTTACTGTAACATCTAAGGCATACACCTCCTCTAAATAGTAATTTCAGTTTAGTATCACTTTTCATTTTGAGTTAGGTTTTTCACACACGTCCCCACATACAGTTGAGTACAGAAAGTTGATTTTTTGGACTCAGGAGATCTTATAACGTGTATTTCTGTTGAAAATAAGGATTTGAAATTTGGCACAATCACGAATGTTTCCTTTACTATGTACTCTATACATAAGTAAGCAAAGTAAAAACACATATAAATAATTTTTTATATACACATACTGTATTTTTTATTTTTTCTGTTTCATCATCATTTAGAATTTATAATACCTATAAATCTACTGATAATTGTTAAAATATGTAATAAGAAATTTTATGTAGACGATAATTTTATGTTTTTACTTTTAGATCTATTCATTTTAACATTCATCTTTAATTATTAAATTTATGATTAAATTTTTTATTTTATCAGAAAACCATAAATGCAAGTATACATGAAGATAAACCAGAGTACAACATCGATGGTTATGTAAGCCTATGTCTCTTGTATGGACTTTATGGAATCACACTTTGGCTGGCACCTTCTCTAATAGCTGTCATCGGCTACAAGCTGAGTCTTATTATTGGAGGATCATCTTTAGCGTTAGTATTAATGATGTTTCTTTGAAGATAACAAATAATAATTAAATAATTAATCTAATTAATAATTAAATAAGTATACATGAAAGTTGAATTTAACGCCGTCCTGTTTTTTTTTATATTTATTTAAGAAGCACCTCCTTCGTTTATTTATAAAAAAATCAATCATAATTAAATCCCTAAGTTATTTTATTATTATTATTTTTCTGTGACAAAACTACTTACCCCGCGCCTGTTCCATAAAATAGCCGCTTACATTAAGGGATGAGCCACGTCTTAAGGTTTTTGGAAATAAAGTATTACATAGAATTTTGGGACTGAAGAAGGATCAGTCAACCGATGAATTTTTACGGTTACATAACGCTGAATTGCGTGAACTTTTTTTTTATTGTTCACCCCCTCCTCATCTTTTAGAGTCAATTATATGGGGTTTTCCCGGGCATGGAAGGGAAAGCGGGGAATTAGTGACAGAATTAAAAACTCCCCTAGCTACAGGACTCGGAATTATATTATCATGATAACTTCTATTTTATCAGGTGCGAGGTAACAGCGACAAGTTGGTGGGTGTTTAAGTTGTTAAAAAACAAAACAAAGCAAGTCGAAATTTGTAACAATCATAAAATAAAAAAAATTAATTAAAAAAAAATTACTAATGTAATGCTATAAAATTTTCCGTCATAACTAATGTCAGGTGTCAATCTTGGCTTTGAACCATTTCTTTTTTAAATAATTTCACTGTTATACGTATTGTAGAATAGCAATGAAGTTAATAATATTCCAATATTAGTTTTCAAAAATTAATTCGGCCAATCAAATCGAAATCACCCAATTTAAATTAATTTTGTTGCTTGGCATTTTCGATGTTTATAATTTGTTTACCGGTTAATCTATATTTATTTGAGAGTTCGAAACCATAGTTAATAAAATTTTAAGGCTCACCTTTTTTTTCTAAGCGGCCAATTTTAATTTAATTTTGGACTGAAAATATGTTATGGGGAAATGTCTGTAAATCTTGTAATTTTATGGACATCGACCCAAAATAAAAACTGGAATAATTATGAGTATCTTGGCTACGTTTCTGTTTATCAATACATCACCTAAAAAGAAAGGAAAGTGGTTTAAAAAATCATGAAAATTGACAAAAAATGAGACTTTTAGTGCTTTAAAAGTGTAATGGTGAAAAGAGCCCTACCTTTGATCTTTTTTTTTTTGCTTCCTCACTACCGAAGGTAGGGAAGCATTGTGTTCGTGCGAGAAATTAAAAAAATTTTTTTGCTCAGAATCGAAAATTTTCACTCGCGTTTTACGTTTCAGGCATCAAGGATCAAATTTGGTTCGGTGTCTGTCTGTCTGTCTGTAGTCAAATCGATGTGACGGGCATATCATCTAGTACCGTTCATCCAATCTTCATGAAATTTTCAGGGATTATGCTGATTGGTGCCTAGATGGTCCCATATCAATTTTATCAAATTCCATCCAGCACTTCCGCTTACGCAAGCGCAAACGTATATTTTTAGATATGCCAATATTTCAGAAAGGGCTCGTTCGATTTGGCTCAAAGTTAGATAAAAGGTAGACTTTGGTGAAAAAATAATGTAGTGTCAATTTCATTGAATTGCGTCCAACACTTTCTCTTATATGAGCACTACTAGTCCGCCGTCCGCCGTCCGCGCATTTTTTCTGAAACTACTAGACCGATTTTTTTCGAATTTGGATATAAAATCAGAGGTCACCCGAGGATCATCCTCCTTCAACGACATTACTATTCGCCTTCTAGTTTTAAAATGGCGGCCGAAAAACCTGCGTTGCTATAGACTGTAGCGCCTAAACGAATGTACCGATTTTGATGAAACTTCGCTAAAGTCATTTTCTCTACGCCCTCTAAATTTATCTATACTACATACTTCAACGAAAAAAAGCTCAAAAAAAGTTACAAGGGATGGTAAAATTAAATTCCGGATAACTCAAGAAGTATACACATTTATGTCAATATTGCGATAAGATGTTTCAAAGGTATTAATGGTTTTTTAGAAGTTTACGGAATTTCCTAAAAAACAAAAAAAAATTCGTCAAAATCGGACAATTAGAAGCATAGATATGGTCCCTAGTTTTTTTTAGATGTGCTATTGCAAAAGGTTTATCCTTTTTTTTATTTCTGAATGTGTTACTGAAGTAATGCTATTTTTTTTTAGCATATTACTAATGATTAAAAAAAATTTTAGTCCAATAATTAGAATCACCTTTTATTTATTTTTATTTATAACTAGGAATTTAATGTTACTTTATATGTATAATTGTTTGGAAATAATATACCAAAGAGAAATAATTTGCAGTGTTTTTTTTCAAATTAATTATCGTTATATAAATAGAAATCTTTCGTGCTGAAGCCCCTCCTTCAAAATTAAATCTTGATTCGGTAATGTATATACTATTATTAGAGCATAAGTTCGTATGTAATAATTTTCAACTTTAATTCTATGTGTATTAAAGGTGATATTTTGTAGTCTGCAACTGACATAAGTAGTCTGCTACTATGGAAAATAGCAGATGAAAATATAATATGAAATTATTCTAATAAAGCATAAAGAAATATTGAGTTTTTATGCACTCTTGTAAAACAATAAATAAATTTATACATAAGACCTTTTGAACTAACAGTATTGAAATTCATGTTCAGTATGCATTTTTTTTTTTATTTATTTATTAAGCATAATCAAGTTTGGAATATTCAAATATGACTCTCTGTTGTTGAATGTTGAAGGGTAACTGTAATCGGCTATTCCGATTCTGCTTCTCTCAGAGATTTTATTCTCATACGAAAAATTGTATACCTTGTAATATACAACGGAAACGGTGAGGAAGCTATACTGACCTTACTTGGCAGACGTTTTTTTTAATAGTTCTACCAGTGTGCTGCATGTTGATGGAATTTAAATCTTGAAAACCTTGTTTTTTTTATATATGAATATTCAAATACGTCTAAAAATCGTTTTCGGCGATTTTTTATGATTAATATCACAAAAGGGACTGAGTGAAAAAAAAAAAAAAAAATCTAGCTCAAAAACGAAAAGTCGTACGGAAGTGAAATTTCATATTTAAGGTTTATATGCTAGGGATGTCACAGCAACTTTTTCATCAATATCGGTTAACCGGAAGTGGCACTTTATATAATGCACTAAACACATTTTTACGATTATCTTGAAAAACGCTCTAAAGATATTGATTAAATCCATCATATCAGTGTAAAATTAAGCGGTTTTAAATAAAATGTCGTTATTATTCTGATTGATGTTCTCTTACAGGACTTAAATGGCTAATTTCCAATATTAGCTTCTTCTAAAGTACATTTAATTTTTTTTATTTGAAACAATTGACCATTTCTAATATTAAAAATGGTTAAATATAAAATATGAAGGAATATGATAAATAACTAAAGGAGAAATAAGAGATCGTAACGGAGAATAGTTGCAATTGAGGAACCTAAGGAATACGATCGCACCCAAGCTCTAACATTAAGATTAGAACACGCTTCCATACGTATCATGAGATTAATATAATACGGACTCGGACCATATTATATATATGCATATGTGGTTTTCATAAATGCTATTGTTGGTATTATTTAATATTTAATTTTATAGATTACAGCGATATAAGTATTAAAATTTGTATATATGAGGGTACTTATACAAATAAAAATACTCACAATGAAATATAAATAAATATAGTCTATAATTTTTTTTTTTTACTTTCACTTCGCTTTGTCTGAAACTACTTATTTCTGCTAAGAAGAGGGTGGTAAGTGAAAGTTGTGTGATACGCGCAACGCACCAGATTTGTTTTTTTTATAGTTCTACCAGTTTGCTACATGTTGATGAAAATTCAATCTTGAAAATATGAATTTTCGAAAACGGCCAAAAGTCGTCTTCAGCGATTTTTTATGTTTAATATCACAAAGGGAACTGAGTGAAAAATTACGAAATTGATACAGTTTATACCTCAACTGGTTCTATTAGTTATAGAGCAACAAATGTTGCTGCCTAGTGACACTAGGTGTCAGCATATCCTTCCTACCTACTCTTACTTAGGCATTTTTGCAAACATCAAAACAAAACAAAAACAAAAATTATGATGATGTTTTGCTCTAAATATTTTGTCCTCACAATACAAGCAGTGATGAAGTTGTTAAAAAGTTGACTACTATAAAATGAAAATTAGCTTTAAATAAGACCATTAGCACGGCAAAAATGAAAGGAGTCTCAAGTATAATTATTTTTCCACATATAGTACTACTTGCTGATAAAATTTCAATCTTGTAAACCTTGTCTTTTTTAGATATGAATTTTCAAAAATTGCCAGAAGTCATTTTGGGCAAGTTTAGAATTTGAATATCATTGAACGGACTGATTGAAACATTATGAAACTCGTAAAATTCCTAAAACTATATAATAAAGACATGCACCACAAATTTCGTGATAGTAGATCCTCTGCAGCGAAAAATTATATTCCTGTCATAGAATTTGTGTAATGATAAACAAAAATTCAATTCAGTGCCGTAATATCATATTGCAAGATGCTGATTTATCGTTTAAATAACGCAATGCCTAGACATCAGGTACAATAAAACTCTGGAGCTGATTGAGTCTCAGTCACAAAATTGGTGGCATATGTCCTTAATATTTAATGAAAGTTTTATAAAATGTGCGAGTTTCATAATTTTCAACTCAGTCCCTTTTATGATATTGAAATTCTAAACTCACCAAAAACGACTTTTGGCCATTTTTAAATATTTATATCTAAAAAATGACTAGGTTTTTAAGATTGAAATTTTATCAGTAAGTAGTACAATGATAGGGCTATATATGAAAAAAAAATTAAACTTGAGACTCTTTTCATTATCACACTTTTGCCGTGCTAAATGTCTCGTTTTAAGCTAATTTTCATTTTATTGTTATCAATTTTTTAACAACTTTCCCCTCTGCCAAGGAGATGTATTGTAAACACAAAAAAATTAGAGCAAAACATCACCATAATTTCATTCTTTGTTTTATTTTGATATCTACAAAAAATGACTGAGTTCGAGTAGGTGGGATATGATGACATCTAGTCCCACTAGGCAGCAATATTTGTTACGCTATAACTAATAGAACCAGTCGAGTCTCAGTGATTAAATTCATATCACACATTCCTATCATAAAGAGGTATAAACTGTATCAATTTCATAATTTTTCACTCAGCCCCTTTAGTGTTTTTCATCATAAAAGTCGCCGAAAACGACTTTTGCACTTTTTAGAAAATTCATATTAAAAAAAGGACAAGGTTTTCAAGATTGAAATTCCATCAACATGTAGCACACTGGTAGAACTATAAAAGAAAAAATGATCAAAGGTCAGTCTCTTTTTATTATCATACTTTTAAAGCGCTAAAAGTCTTATTTTTTCCAATTTTCATGTTTTTTTAAACCACATTTTTTTCTTTTTAGGTGATGTATTGATAAACAGAAATGTAGAAAAGATACTCATAACCATCCCAATTTTTATTTTGGTTCGATATCTACAAAATTACCAGAGTTACAGACATTTTCCCAAAACATGTTTTCAGTTAAAAATAAAATTAAAAATGGCCGCTGAGAAAGAATCGTGAGCATTGGAATTTTTTTAACTATTGTTTCGAACTCTCAAACAAATATAGATTAGATGGTAAAAAAATTATAAAAATCAAAAATGACAAGCAACATGGTCAGGGTGATTTAAAATGGATTGACCCAATTCTTGTTTATTACAAATGCAAAGCTCCCCATGGGCTGAATTATGGCGAATTGGTTTTTAGTATCCAAATATTATGCAAAATAAGACTTGAATTAAGAATTAATAAAACATTTAGTGTATTATATTACTATAATATTCATATTTAAATCCAGTTACATACGATTTGAACCAGGGCCGGCCTTAGAGATTCGGAGCCCCATGCAATTACGTCATCTCCCCTCCCTCTAAAAATATTAAATTTATTTCTTAAGCTGTTTAATATTATGTAATATTTGAATTTTATTGCATTCAACGTTTCTCTAATACAGTTACTTTATTATTAGGCTAAAATTAATTATTTTAATATATTTTGTAACTTTTTTTTTATTTCTTACAAGTGGCGAGTGCCACTAAAGATAGACCGATGCCCCGATAAGCGCCCTTTTAAGTCGGCATCCTGGGGCAATTGCTCCGGTTGCGCTGCCCTGCCTGTTGCGGCCGGCACTGATTTGAACTTACGAATATACAAGTTTAATATAATACATAATAATAAGAAAAGAATGAATCGTATTATAATATTTTTTAATAAAAAATAACTTTACCGCTCCAATCCATGAAGGATCTTGGGTTCATTAATTTTGAGGAAGTGGTTCAATAATTCTGCATAGATTATTTGGCCAAGATCATGCTTCAATGCTATGTTTTTCTCCCTTAATTGCGAATATACACTTTTTAGAGACTGAATGTGTCCCAGGTTTTCTGACAACATTGTCAATCCATGGATGACCTTACATAATACAAAATTATTTAATAGAGTTGGACTCAAACCCAGAACTAGGATAATAGGAGATAGTGCCTTACTCATTGAGCACTCAGCTCCCTCTCTATTAAACAAGAAGATGATTTTAAAAATGGTGAAATATAGCTTAATTATTGGTGTGTAAATGTATTTATAATATGTATACTTATACAAATAGTAATGACTGAAATTTATTTTTATTTATCCAACTAATTATTTCTATGTGTTGATGTATATGAAAGTGTATAAACTATTTACAGAATCTTCATGTACTCCCTGGCACTGGAAAGAGTATGGACTGCCTACATCGGTATTGTTTTGGGAGGAATTGGAGGTTCTTTCCTGTGGGCAGCAGAAGGTCACTATTTAGTCCTCAATTCTGATGAAAAGACTATGTCAAGAAATATTGGAGTCTTTTGGGCAATTTACTCAGCATCGTTAGTACAAGTATTGTCTTATTAACATTTAACACAAGATTCTTTATAGCTTTATGTTTTCTAAAAAGCAGGTTGCTGAACAAATGTTTCATTTTTCATCCATGTTTAATTTTTAAAATTTTGAAACTATGATCAAATAGTGATAATAATTAACTATATTTCTTTAAATAATAATCATATATTAAGAAAAAAGATTTATTTTTCATTTACAACCCTTTTGATGGTAAAATAAATATAAAATATCCACATTACTTTATCTCAAAATAAATCATAGAATTGAAATAATCAGATAAGACTGATGAAATCATTGGCATTTTTATCCCTGGCACCCTTTAGTTTTATAATTAGAAATATATTTTGCACTTATGAACAGGATTTGAAATTAATAATTATTTTTTTCACAAAACCATGTAATAATCATTATATTTGATTTTTAATTATAAAATCATGCCTGATTTATAAATAAAAATTTAAATCAGTCTTTGATGTTTATTGATTCGATTAAAAATAATGATCACTCACTGAGTGATATAGTTTTACATAAATAAAAATGATTAAATTATGATAAAAAAAATTTTAATCAGAAAATAAAAATCCCCTTTTACACACAAATTAAATTAATTATTAATGTGTATGTATACGTTATTAATGAATACATTTTTAATGTCATATTTCTTAAATCACTTTAATTGTGTATGCGGTACCTACACAATGTATATGTATTTTATTTTTAAGCTAAAATTTCTAATGATTTTTTCGGAAATAGTTGATAACAATATTCTTCACTTACTACTTCAGATTCAAATTATATCAAAGAGATTACAAAAAAAATTATATTTCTGATTTTAAAAAGTTTTACTCAAGAATTATTATTATTGTTAATTGTAAAAATGTTGTTCAAAAATAATGATCAGGGTACAATTTTCATCATTTATGATAAAAAATAAAAATCGCTCTTAATAGTTTTTTGTTTTATAGAAAGTAGGTTGCTGAACAAAAGTTTCATTTTTCATCCGTTTTATTTTTTCCAAATATAAAATTTTAATAAAAATCCTTAAGAATTTTGATCAGATTTGATTTTGATTTTTTTAATTAATAATTTCAAACCCTGCTTATGATATTTATTTCTTTTGACACTTCCTGTCACCTATACATCGTAATGCAATCCTATCCTCAATTTCAATTGAATGCATTTTTTAATCCTTTCGTTGTATTGTATTAAATAAAATTTTTGGTATTTCAAATTGGTTCATATAACACTGTATAATTCAGTTGTCTTTTAATATACAATTTTATTTATCATTGAAAAAATACATTCTATTCAAATAATATTTTAATGCTTAAATTTAAAAACTTTAGTTCTTTTATATTACATCTTGTAAACTTTTAAGACATTTTGTCATTTGATTTGGATTTATTCTATAAAATGCTAGAATTAATATGTTTCAAATAACTATGTTTCATTACTGATCAATATAAGTTTATTCAAATTGTGTTCATTTTCTGTTTAAGAATGATTTCAGGAAATGTTTTTGCAGCTACTCAATTTGAAGGCAAGATGCATATTGACCAGGAAACAAGACAACGCTTGGTAATAACGATGGGCACTGTAGCACTTGTAGCTGTTCTATTATGGGCTTTCTTAAGTAAGCCTCCAGGGCAAAGGGTGCCATTGACAGAGGGACCAGTAGAGGCTTTGCGAAAGACTTGGAGACTCTTTTGTACAAAGGACATGATGGTACTTCTCATCACTTTCGTCTACGGAGGTAGCTTCAATCACTTATAGGTATTTAGTAATGATTAAAAATGCATTAAGTCGATAGTATAGCCTTGCTATAATGTAAATTTTTATCAAAACAATAATTGTAAATATTAAGAATCTATATATTCTTGAACATCCAGAGAAACATTGGTCAACGTCAAATATCAGTTTATATAATTCATTTAAATTTATATAATCTTTGCTTTAGTTCTTACTCAACAGTTTTAATGATATTTATAATTTTCAATTTCTTTCTGTAACTTCTAGAACTATCAATACTAAATAAAACCTAATGTTACCAAACAATAAAACTATGGATGTTACATGACTGATGCACTATGGTATCAAAACAGAAGAAAACTAAGGAAGGGGACAATTGTCATTGGATATTAAAAAAAAGAATATAGTTTTTAATTTATTTTTAAAACATTAAAAACTTAAATGCTTTGGAATGCTATAATCATCTTTCCACAATAATAAGATTCATTTTTTTAAATTTTCCCTGAAACTTCAGTCAATCCATAAGTATAAGTATTTAAAATTTTTTTTTTATTTTACTAGAATTATGAAAATACTTCTGCATTTTGATGTAAAATGAAAAAATAAGAACTTTATTAGTGCATTTTATTTATCATTATTAGTTATATTTTATTTATCATTATTTCTATCATTGATATTGTAAATAGTTATTTATTAGATTTAATGCCTTTATTTACTCCAACTGAGACAGTAAGATCAAGTCATCCATTAGTGAAAAAATAATTAAGATTAAGATTCAAATATTATCTTATAAAAATGAATTGATATCTTGCTAAAAAATAAATTGAATTTCGAAGATAATAATTGATTTTAATGAAAAGATTCAAATTACACAAAGTTTCAAGAGAACAAGAAAATTCTTTATGAGAAAGTAACAAGTTAAATTAGTAGTGTGTGTTGTGTATATTGATTTATCCCTAAAAATTATACCTTATTTTGATTTATTTAGGACTTCAACAGTCTTTTGGTAGCGGAGTTTATGCCCCTAGCATTGGTTTTACAAGAGAATTTGGCATCCATGCAAAAAAATTGGTACCTATTTCTGGGCTAATATATGGCTTTGGAGATTCTTTAGGTAGGAAACTTCAATTATTATAATTTAAGTTTGTGTCCTGTGACGTGTCATAATCATAAAGTAGCAAGATAATTGTAATTGAAATAAATTCAACTGCAATTATTAACAACTTATCTATTATTAACATAATTATTAATTCAAATACACTATTCATTGTTTGATTATATACTGGGAAAGTTCCTAAACTCTCAGCACTGAACTCATCAATGGCATCATTTTGCCCACTTTAGAGATGGATCCAATACCATCGATGAACTGATTTTAGGAACTTGCCTATATCATTAGCTTTCGATGTTATGTTTTAGTGCACTGGAATATTAATAGGAATAATTTAGAGAACATCTTTGGGCCTGCAAAATGGAAAAATATATTTTATTTTTCAGTGGTGTCCATTTGTTTCTGTGAGTGATTTGAGCTAAATGCTTAAATAATCAAAATATGTAATCTTTTTAAATTATAAAACATGCATTTCAGCAACTAAATGTGAAAAAAAAATTACTTGAAAAATTTATTCCTAAAGGAATTAATGTACCTGCAAAGTTTTTTTTCTTTTACTTGGCCTTCGAGGATCACTCAAACATTATTGCATATAGTATCTTTATTTTTCTTCCCGAGTAACTCCAATTAAAAAAAACTTATGTTTTGCTTTTACTTTAAGTGGGTTGAAACATTGCTACTTACTTTGAAATTATATATTAAAAAATAGAGCATTACTCATTAATTAAGGAGCATATATAATGCAATATTTCTGAGCTTGCATTCTGTAAATATTATTGAACTAATAGCAATTGACTTATACAACTTAAAAAATCAAAATATGCTTAATTTTCAAAATTTCTTCCTCTAAAGTACCTTTAATTTCGTTCATTTTAAATAATTAACAGTCACTAGAAATCAAAAATAGCTAAATATGAACTATGAAAGAATTTGATAACTGACTGAAGGAAAAAAAAGGAAAAATGTTTTTTCAGATAGAAAATGAATTTCTAGAAAAAATAGTGAGAATACATATGTATAATTTTATTGGAAAGCTGAGGGTTTTAGAAAAAAACATTTACAATTACTGTAACAACTTTTGACCTATTGATGGCAAGCAATGGATACCTCATAACTATATTTTAGTACATTTTTCAATGGAAACATAAGAAGAGTTTAATAACATGTAAAATATTATTTAGATTTATTTGCTATAAGCTTTAATATATAATACAATCTTTACTCATTTATAGATTAATTAAATAGATGTAATTTAAAACCTCTCTTTGTTGATAGAGCTGTGTGGACTATAAGTGTTATGTGGTTAAAAAAAAAACAGATGGAGTTACGAGGTTTTTATTGCCAACCGTTGATATAGTAAATAGGATTTTTGTTATTTTAATGGTCTTAATGAGTTTTCACAAGTTTGCTGTAAGATTAATAAGGTTTAGCTCCATTTTAAATGTATTTCAAAAACTTTGTAATACTCCAACTTCTTCAGAAAATAATTTCTGTTGAAAGTAGAGCAGTAAGTGAAAGTTATGTGATGTGCACACCAGATTTTTTAAATATATAGTTAATAACTAAGTGGAGATAATTTTTATATTTACATATACTTTATGTGGTAGTACTGTATATTAATCTGCTTATTAATACATATTATTCATTGTATCTTGCTTTATTGTTCCATTCTATAATATTAAATTGTATGGGACATAACTACATTATATATTCATAAGTAAGTAAAAAATATTTTAACCTGTACTTTATTTTTTGTACAGGAGGTGTATCATACATAATTTTAGACCGAACTGGAATAAAATATACTAGAAGGCATGCCATTTTTGCAGGATTACTAATTCAGACAATTGCATATACCAGTATTTATATCAATCTTCCAAATAGTGCGGTTTTTAGGGAGACAGAAGAAAAAGCCATTATACCATCACAGTAAGTAGGATTAATTCAAAATTTACATCTATTTTGAAAACCTGAATAATTCTTATTTTTCTTTATTTAGGATTTGGCTAGCATTGTTATGCAGTTTCCTTATTGGTATGGGAGATAGCTGTTTGAATACTCAAATCTTCCCTCTATTAAGAGATCTCCATCCTGAATACAGTGCACACACGTCCGCACTTTATAAATTTTCAAAGGTGAATTGTATTCAATATTGTATAATATTATTGACAAAAAGCTATTCTTGTAGGTAACCACGAATTTCAAGCAAATCATCATAAAAAAATTAAAAATACTAAAAAAACCTGTAGGTCCACTATTAATCATATGAAATTTGTTTCCGTAATTTTGAGTGATGTGAGGGCAATGGAATTTTGAAGTTTCCCACACCTTCCACATGTATCTCACATAAAAAATAAATACTCCTGACTAAAAACATATTTAAAAAATATAAACTATATGAATCAATTATATAAATTCTTGGAAAAATAATAGTGTGATGGAAATAGAATTGCAAAGAATATCACTAACAATAGCAACAAACATTTAGTGGAACTCAGATGTGAATGAGGTTTTTCTTAGTTTCAAAAGAATCTCATGTGGTTTGTTAACCATTAAAAATAAAAATATAAATATAAAATAGATCAAACCTAATAGACAAAGGGTCCCAGTTTTTTTTTTTTTTTTTTTTTTTTTTTTTGTGAGTAAACAACTGATCCAATTATTTCTTTTAAAACAATAGTGGACTTAATTGTGGAAACAGAAAACTAGGTGTCACAGTTAAATCCTGTAATCGGACAACTGAGGGAAATATATTCTGGGAATTGGCATCTAAATTTAACCATGAAATTAACTTATAACTAAGAAATTAATTAAAATAAGAAAATAATTCAACTTCAAGCTAAAATTACCTAGTTTCCACTGATATCAACTGTCTTACAAGAAATTTTACACTGAATCCCTTGCGACATGAATTTGTATTGGTGGAATGACCCAAATAAACAAATGCTTAGTTATTAAATTTATACAGCAATAAATATGATTACATTTTTTAAGTATAATTTCATTTGTTACAGAGCATGGCAATGGCTATCTTTTTCTTCTGCAGTAGCTATTTAGGACTTCATCTACAGCTGATAATTATGTTTCTATTTGGTATAGCAGGTGCCATTGCATTTTCATATGTGGATATTAGAAATTGTTCTAGAAAAGCTAAGGAGAATATTAGTATTAAATAAATATAGATTTAGTAACTAAATTATTTGCTTTGTCCATAAAGCAGAAAATGCAATGATCTCATTTTTTTTCTCTGTTCATAATACTGCTAGAAATATTTATAGTACAATAAATTTCTAAAATAAAAGGACATTATACCAAAATGAAATAATAAGGTACTTAAAATAAAAAGCTATAATGGTTTGTAATTTTTTTTTTATTACAGTTCCTTATAATTTTGTTTTTGTAAACTTTACAAAATCAAAAAGTTTTGTTTTATATTTTTACTATATGCTCTATGCATTTAAATAATATTTTAAGATCAAGGAAAGCAAGTAATTTATTTAATCCACTACAAAAAAAAAATTTAAGATAGTAGACAAATGTATACACATAATCTAAAACAAAATACGAAGATTAATAATAGTGCAATGATTAGAGAAATAATGAATTCTTTCTTTAAGATGGATAATTTTCATATAAATTCCTATGAAATTTCTCGAACTATCCTTCGTATATCATTCATGTTTTGAATGAGGTCTTCAGGCATGTTATCTCTCTCTATCTTTGATAATGTTCTTCAATTTTATTAATCACCCAAGTCACATGATTTTGGGTTCCCTCTAGTCGGCATTTCTTTTATACATGGCCAAACAGAATTTTTAGTCGATTTTTTAGTGGAGCAGAATTTTTAGTCGTAACAGAAACATTAGTCGAGTAGACTGAAGACACCTACATACTACTTGATTACTTACTCATACTGCAGTGCCATTTAGTAAGCCTGTTTGTACAGCTGTTACAAAAGGGATAGTTCCCAGTACAAAAATTATCTTCCTTTGAGGTTGTAATGAGTGCATGGATCACTTCCTCCATGCCTAGATCATACAGAACCAACTATAGGTATCTAATTCTTATCCTATTAATTAAATGCAGTTACCCAAAACCTCCGATCCACAATTCTAATGATCTACTGTAATAATAGCTGTTCATTTCATTATGGGAATAACAAAAAAGAAAGTCTACACTTCAAGTTATATAGAAAAACTAAAGAAAAGACGATGTTAAGGATTCGGGCAAAACTGATTGTGACTTTGTTTACCAGCTTGTTTTCAATGCCTTTAACTTTTCTTCAAATTTCAACAAACAAAAAATTTTAAAATCAACTAAAATGTACCAAAGCTCATCTAACAGATCTATTTAACAATAAGATTATTAAAAATTTAATTTCTTCAGATGTACCACCTTACTCTACCAATGTTGGTATATTTATAATATAGTGTATTTTTCCTCATTAGCAACTGTAGTTAAAGAATTGCAATAGTACAATAGAATATGTTGCAATTCCATTAATCATCTAAAATAAAAAAAATGGTCAAAGTAAATCTATAAATAACATTTCAGTAGAAATGACAGATAAATACTTACAAATAATGTTAATAAATAATTCAATTCCAAAGTTCCACAAACTGAAAACACAATCTTCCTTTTTATACTAAAATGTAGAGATAAAATAGTCTGAAATTTAAAAATTGTTTATTTTAATAACTTATATAATCTAAAAGATATATGTAATACAAAAGATAGAGTATAGTATAAATGAATATAATCTATTCAATCATATACTTACATTGTTAAGCATTTTTTGAGTGTTATAATCATCCATCATGAGTGAAAATAATTTTTTGTTAAATTTTCTAACCTTAAAAAGATTCATGATATATTTAAAAAAAACGACAATAAGAAAGGAAACTAAGTGCTAACTAACTGAAGCTCAAATAATTGGATGATATCCATAATTGAGAAAGAAGGTAAAAACTGAAAAGAAATTCAAGCTAATACCAATAATTAGTCAGTTACTAAGGATCATATTTTTATGCTCAACATGATGATATTTCAACATTTGTACATCTAGTTGGTCTTTTGGTTTCCATAACATTTTATTTATTTTTCAATTATAAAAAAATGAAAAAATATTGTGTAAAAAATGAAACATAGTGATTGATTACATCATTTTCTAGAAAATTTCCAGCAAAGGCTCTTAACTAGACCATTCAAATAATTTGAAAATTGCTTGGTTTTTAGATTGGAGGGGTTTTGATTTTCTAAGTTAACAACTCCAACTTGAATTCAATAAATTAATAATAAAAAAAATTGTAAAACAATAAAATTATTGAATGAAAAATTGTATATTTTAATATAAGTGGAAGGAGACCAATGTCCACAAAAAATGTGTAAATAAAATCTATGAAACTATAAATGCTGGGAATTTTTTTGTGTGTGTTAAAAAGATCAAGACATTTATAGATAAATCTAAGCTTATTACCTGTGATCTTAATTTAGTACATCTTGAATTTAGCGAACATATTTGAAAAAAAAAAGTTAATCGTAGCAAAGTTTTAGGCATCAAGTTTTTAAATGTTTCTTGAATGTTATAACCATGAGCTAGCTCTTGTAAATGTGCAACAAATATAGTGATTCCATCCACCATGATATAAAATACAAATATATAGCTCATAAGTACAGGGACAGCATATACTTTATTAATTGTTCTAGATATGCGATAGAGTATGAAAGAATTTTTCGCATGTAACTCACAGTTGCATGCTGAAGTCAATTTCATAGTCATAGAGATGAATAACCAGTTCACATATTCAATAAACACTTCATATTGTAATAAAGTTAAGAATATTACTACAGAACATACAGAAAAAATCGTAAAAATTAAATGTTTATCATAGTTTTGATAAGTTCCAAAGTTCCCTGAATAAACTGAATAATTAGCATATACTAAGGATAATACAAATACCGAGAAATTCAAATAAAATACTGATAATTTCTTCTTATCAAAAGTTCTCATCAGGATAATACTTTTTTCCAAATATAAAAAAGATTCCACAATGAATTTCTTCTCTTTCGGAACAAAGTACAACCTCAAATGTATCACACCAACACAAATGGTAAGTATTATGTGTCTTCCAAAATTCATAGAAATTTCGGGTTTAAGTTGAAAAGAAGTTATACACCAGTCATAGTAGCAGCAAAAAACTAATAATAATTGCAACCCAATCAACAACAACAGATGTATATTAATAAATCTAGATTTGAAATTTCCATTCAAAATATTTATACCAAATACTTCAGAAATTATCCAGATAGGTCTATAAGCATGGTAAATATTGCCTGAATGTGTCATTCCAGCTTGTCTGTAATGAATCTCAGAGAATGTTAGATATATGTATTATCAAGTCCAGCTTTTAGTACTCGATGTGACAGCACAATCAATACATAATTTGACTTGGCTTCTTGAAAGGTAACAACCACTTTTCGAACTGTTAACTTGGCATTTTCACAATGGTTTATCGCTCTTACACACTAGGGGTAAATATAATGTTCCATTACCAGGAACCCAATTTTTATGTAGTTAAAAAATAAAGAAAATGTAGCAAAACATTTCAATATTTAAAGAAGAATTGTTAAATTATATAACAAAAAACCTAATGTGTGATAATATTTTATATAATAATAAATTTTAAAAACTTTTGCATTAAATAAATATAAAAACTAACTGCATTATAAATCTGCTTAACTTTTCTTTTAGCTGAAATTATATTTAAAGAAAATAAAACGTTTTCTTCCTTTATAATAAAAACAAGAACAAAAAAACAATTTACGGGATCTTAAATTAAACAATGGATACATTTTTTAAACCTATAAAACCTGGGGTGAATTTAAAAAAAAAAAAAGTAGAATAGAGAAAAAGTAATGAGAAATTATTTTTATATACATTCTTTGAATTTTTAATCAATAATATGTACAATAAATATTTATAATTGATACAGAATGTACCCAAAAAAAAAAAAAAAAAAAAAAACTGAACACTGTTATGAAGATTAAAAAATATATGATGTATTATTAGTATAAAAGAAAAAGTAATGTAAACAAGAGTTTCCTAATTGGACTATGTCAACTCATCCTGCTACAAGCCTGTAAGTGCAAAAACCAAAGGTACTAAGACAGCAAAAACCTATGAATTTTCTAATGTTTTAGGTAATATTTTTTGTTTGTATTTCTAAATAATAATAATTGAACATGATCGACCAAGTCTAAAACCTTATCACTCAATGAAATTGATGATGTAAACTAGATAAAATTTACTTCAAATAAAAACAGAGTTAGTCATTGTTAAAACCATTTAAAGAAGACTTTTGAGGGGCTAAAGTATGCTAAATTTTGTTTTTAAAAAAATCATAAATTAATTGAGATTTTTTTTTTATCATCGTCCAACTAGGATAAATGGACATTCTTAATTTGTTAATTGTCTTAATTAATCTGTTATAAACATCCTTAATTTGTATTACCAACAATAAGAACCAGGCAAACATGAAACAGAAGAGTTTTGTTGATTATTGTGCATCATT